AAAAGCTCTTCTTTCTTAGAATCTCTTCTTTCTTGACTCCTTTACTCCAGCTCTTCAGAGCTTTAGATCTCTGCAGAAAATACCTTGTACAGAGCTTTTCTGGTTACTCTCAGTTCTTCTTTTGCCTGTTGAGTGCTCCTTCCTCCAGAAAGCAAATCTTTGTGAATGAATAATTCCAGCTTAACCCCAAGCTCTGAGAGTTGCGTGTATAGAGGATTCAAGGCAAGGGAGAGTTTTCCACAGCTGCTGAGTACTTGTGGCAAATGGCTATTTCACTTGTATCTTAAGTTGACTCTGCAGTGAATTCTCCTTTTGACCCTAGAGCATTTTAAGAGGTTAGGCTAATAGATTGACTGCTAGCAGCCTTTTCAATTTTTCCATGTTTATTTCCATAAAATGGCTTTAATGAAGGAAATTGATTAATTATTCTGTATTACTTGATTTAAGACCCTGTAGTTGGTTATAATGGAAATTCTTATATAAATCACCATTTTCCAGATGTTTTTCTGCAGAATTTGTTACTTTTCCTATTCTCCTCTAAAAATATTTTTTTTTCAGTTGTTATCTTTATCACTGCAACACTTGAACAGAGGTACTGGGATTAAATTCTCAGTTCTGCTCCCTGCCCATTACTCTCAGTTTTAGGAAGGAATCTATTCATTATGCATTTCCAGAACAGGAGGGAAAGCAGTGGAACTTGCATCAGTGTCATTGCTTGACTCCTGCAGGAGCTTTTAATTACACTATTGATGAATTACATACCATTCAGCACCTGTTGAAGGGTATCCAGGTGGATTTGTCTTTCTGGGTTTTATTTCTGTGTTTGAAGTTTGTATGAATAATTGTTTAAAATACAGAATGAAGAGTTGCAGTGGCTTAGCTGTCCATTTCAATGTCACAGGGTGAGGAAGATGATGATGCTGAATCACGACAGGAAGAAGACAAGGAAGAAGTGAAATGCTATTCAAGAAGAAAGATACTTTCCAACTGGAGCCGCTACGAGGATACAGAAACAGAGGGACAGAGTGAACGTGGGGAGTCACAGAGAGGAACAGACTTCAGTGTTTTGC